AACCATTCTACCGGCCGTCCCAGGACACACCCAGCCCCGAAGAAGCGACGAAAAAGACGAAGAAGCAAGGGTACTGATGCAATTTTCCACCGATCCCGATTTCCCGTAATTGGCCCAATCTTCGCAGCTTAGGACCCCTCGTTGCAACCACGCAGAAACTCGCGCGTTACAGGAAGTGGTTTGTCACACTGCTGCAGACCTCCCTACCGTGCCCTGTGTTGCTCCGTCCAAACACAGTTCACATCTTTCCGGCCCCAACTGGCATGCTCACACTCAAAACCCCTCTCTGCCTCTCATGGGTGGCGGACAACTGCCCTGCAAGAGATCATGGTTGGCGGATGGTGGACCCGCATGTGGTTCTTGCCACTCAGTTTCTTCTGCCTCGTTGGCTATGCATCCACCGGTTGGCACATACTTTGACTCCCTGGCCCGCGTCCCGGGCTAGGCAGAAAATACAGAGACTTCGCCATCCCTCGAAGTGAACGGCCAAGCTAATCTCCTCTGTATTGTTCCTATTTTAATGGATGCCCCGAAGGACCTAGGCCTGTATTTTTCAACAGTTGCGGGGTGCACCAGCTGTGCTACGCCCGGTGGTCCCGGCACACAACCTCGGTACCAATACTGGTGCCAAAAAAAAATAAAATAATAATAATAATAATTATAATAATTATAATAATAAATAAAATAAAAATAAAAATAAAACTAAAAATACGAGCATCGGGGATCGGTGCTTTGGGGAGGGAGACCGTCGGTGCCCCCTCCCGGTTCCGTCAACCGGGCCCATGGATGGGCCAGCAACCAAACCAAGGGGGATAGCCCCGCCGGGCCCTCAACCCCCTGGCATCTTCAACCACTCCAATGCTCCATCGCCGCCGGCTGACCTTGAACCCCTAACCTTGTCGCTTGAAAGTCCAATACCGTAACCAAATAGAACTAGGTCGAGGGCTGAGTTAGGTAGGCGTGAGCCTGTGTATGGATAGTCGCAAGACCGTGATCGGTCCTACCCTCACAAACCAGGCCTCCGCCTTGGCCTACCGACCAACCTCCTGGCCATCAGAAGATGACGAGACGTCGCCCGCGCCTAGGATCGTAGCTATTTTGGTATCCTGGTCGTCGGGCGCTCGACATATTTTGCCAAACTTTTGACTATCCCCCATACTAGGTTTGTCAACGCCGCACCTTTCGACGCGTCGTCCAACATAAACTTCACCCCTCTGTGCAAGGTAAAGTTTTTATCCTTTTGGTGCCGTGTCCCTCCAAAGGCAGAACTAGTTGCGAAGTAAATCTAGTCTTTATAAAATAAAAGAAAAATATAATCAAATAATAAAAACTACAGAAGGGAGAGTAACCGGGTTCTATGGCTTTGGCGTCATTTCTCCAGTCTAGTTTTGCCGATGACTAACGGCTATCTCACCGTGCAACGCGATAATGTGTGCCCCACATACTCTCTAATTCGGTCGCATTTGACTCGGAGTCTCGCCAAGAGCGAGGTTGCCGAGGTAAGCGCCCTGATGGGTTTTACCTCATCAGCGCATTTCATTGATCAAGGACGCACCCAGTGCGACCTTTAAAAAGAACGGCAAATACCCTTGTAAGGGTGTTTGCTACGACAGCGCCCTCCGACACCGGGTCTTGAGATGTAGGTCTGTTGCTTAGGAGTCATAGTAGTGGTCTAGGTCGTAGCTGCTACAATATCAAAGGGTCAAGGTCGTCGTTGCTATAGTATCGAAGGGTCAAGCCTACGATCTTCCGGACCTTCCGGAAGTGGCCCTTTGTAGGTCCTAGGAGTCAGTCCACGTCTGAGTCAGCGAAGGGCAGTCCTAACACAGTCAGCAAAGGGCAGTCCTAGTCCTACTTAGCCTAGTCAGCGGTACCCAGTCCCAGTCGCAGTTTGTCTAGTCCGCAAGTACCATGTGGGACTGTGTGCACCCCAGGCCCAGGGTCAAAGGGCAGACCTTTGACGATCCGAAGGATAAATAAAGAGGCAGCGTTCAGTCATGCATTCATTCCGCTTGTGAGTCGTGCAGAAGCGCTGCCTGTGCGTCTTGTGTACGGAGGTCTGCAGGTGCCCGAAGAGGAAGGGGGCTAAGGGAAGAAGACGCGGCCATAGCCGCTTGCTGTTAGTAGAGGTAGAGGAAGGCAGCCATTGTTGCCCGTAGGTTAGTAGTAGAATGTTAGTCTGTGTATGTGAGCGTATTGTGTATGTTTGTGCGGGGCATCCAGAGAGATCCAGA